TCCACTATGCTAAATGATAGTGAATGGTTTTAGGGACTAATACAACACAGTGCATTTGCATAGTACTTTATGCACAGCTTAAATGTTTTCATATATGTTATTTCTTAGTCTTCACCATAGTCCTTGAGATAGGTAGGACAGTAGGGTGAGGAGCCAAGGTCACACCAGGTGACCTCTGGAAGCCCAGAGCTTTTGCTCTTTTGCATCCAACCTCCTGACCCAGGTCCTATTGTAGCAGGGGAAACCTTGGAAAAATCAAAGCCCATGCTTCCCATGAACTTGTGTGATACTTTGACACTTTAATATGTGATGACCCCAAAAGCATGTTACATGTTTTGTCATGTTTTTAAAATACTACCTTTCATGCCCTTATTGGTGTGGCTCATTTGGTTGGGTGTCATCCCACAAGGTGAAAGGTCACTGGCTGGATTTGAGTCAAGCACGTGCCCCGTTGCAGGTTCAGTCCCTGGTTGGGGCACCTACGAGAGGCAACCGAGCGATGTTTCTCTCACACATCAATGTTTCTCTCCCTTTCTTTCTTCCTCCCTCCCCCTCTCTCTAAAAATAAATAAAGTAAAATAAATAAAAATATTACCTTTTATGCATTTTTCAAGGCAGCATGCTTTTCCTCATTGAATTTTTAAGTTTATTTCAAAATACTCACACGTGCGTACATCCTGAATGATGTTCCACAAAGAGCTAAGCAGGTTTAACACTGAGAGCCATTACTTTCTAGGTGCAGGTGATAAGTTTCCTTTCTCTTCTATTTATGTAATAAATAATGACTTTTTATTGGAAAACTCATCCAACATAGGAAAATGCAAAACTCACTCTTAATTCACATCAGCCCACGTACACACAAAACCAGCACATGCACATACACACTTCTCTCCCCAAAGGAAGCACTGTTAGTGATTCGGTTTTTTTCTTTGCAAACCTTTCTTTGTGTGATTATATAGAAGTATATATATTGCCAATCACACTTATAGTTTTCCACTTTTAATTTTATTTTTTTATTCTCACCAGAGGACATGCTTATTGATTTTAGAGAGAGGAGAATGGAGGTAGAGAGGGAAAAATCAGTCCCAACTGGGACTGAACCCGCAACCTAGGCACGTGCCCTGACTGGGAATTGAACCCATGGCCTTTCAGTTTACAGGATGACATTCCTACCAACTGAGCCACACCAGCCAAGGTCACACTTACAAATTTTTTAAAATCATAAGTCATATCTCACTCAACTTACTATTCAGTGATTTCTTCATTTCCCTTTAACAGCATGTTCGGGAGCTCTTTCCCTGTATTTTGGTCTATCTTGCCTTTTAATGTCTATGTAGTATTCCATAGTTTGACTATATCGTAAAATATTTTTTACTTGTTTAGATTGATTATAAATTTTTGCTGCTACAAATAATACTGTGTCCTTGTAATACTTATACTTCTACCAGCATTGAAAAAAGTACCTGTATCCTTATATCTTTATGTACACTGATAGTATCAGTCTTTTAAATATTTACTTATAAAGCTTTTATTGGCCTTTTGTATTTCTTTTGTGTATTTCCAGTTTATACAGCATCTCAATAATTCTTCTGGGTCATTTGTTTCTTCATAATTTGTACAATCTCTTCCACTACTTTGAATATTAACCCTTGTTCTGGTATGTACTACAAATATTTTTTTCTAAACTGTTACTCGTCTGTTAACTTGCTAATAGTGCCTTTTGATGTGAAGGAGTTTTTTGGTTTTGTTTTTTAATACAAAGCTGCCAGTGCTTTTCTATATGACATCTGGGCTTTATGCTTTGGGAAACTTTCTCTAGCCTGTGAATTTTAAAAATCTTCTTCAGCCCTGGCTGCTATAGCTCAGTGGATTGAGCACAGGCTGTGAACTAAAGGGTCACTGGTTTGATTCTCAGTAGGGGCATGTGCCTGGTTGTGGGCTCGGTCCCCGGTGGGAGCTATGTGGGGGGCAGCCACACATTGATGTTTCTCTCCCTCTCTTTCTCCCTCCCTTCCCCTCTCTCTAAAAATAAATGAATAAAATCTTCAAAAAAATATTCTTCAAAATTTTCTTCTAATACACTTACAGTGTTGTGCTTGCTTCAGCAGCACATGTATGTTTATAGTGTTGCTTTTTATGTCCAGCCTTTGATATATTTGGGGTGTTTTTAGAGATTTTATTTATTTATTTATTTATTTTTAGAGATCGGGAGGGAGGGAAGGAGAAAGAGAGGGAGAAAAACATCAATGTATGGTTGCCTCTCGGGCAATCCTAACTGGGGACCTGGCCGGCAACCCAGGCATGTGCCCTGACTGGGAATCAAACTGGCGACCCCTTAGTTCACTGGCCTGTGCTCAGTCCACTAAGCTACACCAAGCAGAGCATTGATATATTTGGAATTTATGTTTCTGTTTGGTGTTTGTCAGCATGTTGTATTAGTTTTCTAGGGCTGCTGTAACTAATTACCATGGGGTGGGCACATTACAACAATAGAAATTTATTTTCTTACAATTCTGAAGGTCAGGAGTCTGAAATTACGTTGTTGGCAGGACAGTTTCCTTCTGGGAGGATCTGAAGGGCAAATTCTTCCATACCTGTCCCCTAGTTTCTGGTGGCTGCCAGCAGTCCTTGGCATTTCTTGGCATATAGATGCAGCATTCCAAGTTCTCACTCTGTTTTCACGTCACCGCCTGCCTTCTCTGTGCCTGAGTCCTTTTCTGTCTCTTATGAGTATACTCTCATGGGGCTTAGGGCCCACTCTAATCCATATGGTTTCATGGTCTCATCTCAATCCTTAGCCTAATTTTATCTGCAAAGACCTCATCTCTAAATAAGGTCACATTCTAAGGTTCTGGGTGGATGTGAATGTGGGGAGGGGCACTATTTAACTAATTTTATTTTTCCAAAGGAAGGTTAATGGTTTCCGTGGTTTTCTTACAGAGTCCTTCCTTGTCTCACAAGTATGATGTGTTTGCCACAGACTAAGTTTAGTTGGTTTGGTTCAGGACTCAGTTTTTTTAATCCTCACCCACAGACATGCTTATTGATCTTACAGAGACAGAGGAGTGGAGGGAGAGTGCGAGAAACATCGATCAGCTGCCTTCCAAAGGCACCCTCACCGGGGATCGAATTCGCAGCCAAGGTATGTGCCCAGACCAGGATCAAACCCACAGCCCTCATTTGGTGTATGTGCCCACGCTCCAGCCGGCTGAGCCACCAGCCAGGGCAGGACTCGATTTTGTTCCATTCACCTATTCGTTTCCTTTATACCGTTTCAGTTATGCTAATTTGTAGGATGTTTTAATACATTGTCAATTCCTCCCCTACCCCTAGTTTTTCTTTTCATTCAAAATATTTATTTCTTAGCTATTCTTTCACATTATCTCTAATTTACATAAGCTTTGGAAAGTATTTATTGAGTCTATTAAAACCATGTTGGGATTTTGATTGGAACTGTATTGAATTTATAGATCAATTTGGGGGAAACTGACATGTTTACAGTGTTGAATCTTCCCTTTTGGGTCATGCTCTCCATTTATTTAGGCATTTATTTCAGTAAAGGTCTGTAGCTTTTTTCATAAGGGTCTTGCATAGTTCTTGTTAGGTCTAAAACTAGTGATTTTACAAATTAAACATCGGTCCCTTTTTTCTATTACAGTTTCTAATGGAAAATTTCTGGCTGATAGGAATTCTATTTATTTTTGTGTGTCAGCCATGCACGCCGCCACCTTCCCACAGTTACCTTATTCTGTATTTCAGGTGATTGTCTTAGTTTCTCCTGATAGATTACCATACTGTTTGGAATAGTGGTAGTTCTTTCTCTTCCCTTCCAACATTAAAATCTCCTTTGAAGGTTTGTGTACGTGCTGTCATGTCGGACCCCAACAGCAGAGTGTTAGCTGCAGACTGGGCGAACGTGATGCTTACAATCTAAGCAGAAGAAAACACAAAGATAAGCCAGTCGAGCTAAAGATACTGCACAGGGAACCAATGGCCTTATAATTCACAAAAGAAGGAAAGTGGCAGAATTTTGGCGAGCAAGTGCCCCCTGTTTTTCATCTTATACTATTATTTAAAGCCTTCTAAGACCTGTGCTAGGCAGCTCCGTCAAGTTACCTGGCAACGTGGGAATTTGCTCTGCCTGCAGAGCAAATGTATTTCAGTCTGGCTCATAAGTCAACAGTCCTTTCAGTCTTTAGGCTGACCATTAATACTTCGTGAGGTCAGTCACAGAACAGTGGTGACACTCAGCTGCCAAACAAGTACGTTGGTATTTATAATGAAGCTTCCTTCCCTAGTAAGACTTTTAAGCCCTTGTCACTAATCAGCTTTTCTGCCTTGTTTTTTGCTTCTGGCCATTTAGGTTTTCACCTACAATCTTGTTGAGAAGTAATTAACTTCGTGGTTGGCTGTGCATGGTAAAAGACACTCCAGACTTAGCTTCACAAAGAACGGCTTTTCCTTCGCTCCTCTCTTAACAAATATCAAGCGCCTGTGTAACTGTAGTTTACTAAAGAGCTTAATAGACCTCAGCCTATAGAAAGAAAAAAAAACTAGATAAATAGGAGCTTGGGTTTCTACATATTTTGATGCACATTTTAAAGACAGAAACTCATCCTGATTGGCTCAGTGGTTTGGGCATCATTCCACAAACCTAAGGGTCACCAGTTCAAATCCCCAGTCAGGGCACATAGCTGGGTTGTGGGCCAGGTCCCCCAGTAGAGGGCCTGGGAGAAGCAACTGATTGATGTTTCTCTCTCTTTCTGTCTCCCTTCCCCCCTCTCTAAAAATAAATGAATAAAATCTTTTAAAATACATTTAAAAAAAGACAGAAACTGAGTGCTAATAAGGAGGGAAATCTTAATGTTTTTAAGGTTAAAGTTACCAGAACAAACCTACTCTCCCCAATTTAAGAATTCCTTTCAAAACCAGTGATAACTCACTTTGAAAAACAATCTATAATAATTCAAATATCAAATTACTTGACAAAAAGAGGTTTTTGAAAATTTTAATAACATTAAAAGTGCTTATGATAAGTACAACATTAATGTTCAAAATTAACTTAAGGCACAATCTCAATCAAATATAAAATAAATACATATAAAGAGAACTAGGAAGACTTCTACCTAAATGTTAATATCTGAGAATAATATACATCAGTGATAGCTTCAGTTGTGATTATTATTTTTCATAGAGGACATGTTTTACTTTTTAGCATATTACTTTTATGATCAGAAAACTAAAAATATAATCACCAAGTTAAGTAGAGTGAGCAAAATAAACCTTTTGTGGAATTACTTATGAGACATGAAGACACTGAAAATTATTGATCTGATAATTCAGAAAGGCAGCTGAATTTGTTCACAGCAATGTGCTGGTTCTAACTCATTTCAAAGGTAATTTCTTGAATGGCTCAGTGTCTTTGAACATTTTTTTTTAACTTGAGTTTAGAACTTACTACTTTTAGTTAGGTGTGACTATCTGCAAACAAGCACAATTTTGCATGTGTACAGAGGAAATGAGTATGATGTGAAATGCCTTGAAAAAATATACAGCAGTATGGAAAGGCCAGCACTATATAATCCATTCTGTGTGCAGGTTCTGCTTTTATCAACAGGGATCTTTATCACTGTGTACAGGAGCAAAGACGTCCCTGCAGTGCGCAGCTGTGGTCGCTGTTTGTAGAGGCCACGTGCTTGGGGTGTGGCTGTGCTTCTTATGCTTACTTTGCCTTTGCAAACAGTCCAGGTTAGAAGTGAGGAAGTTGCATCTGGACGCTGGTTAAGGGCAGGCCCAGGGCACCTTCAATCCAATGGATGTCTATTGAGAAAGTTAACGGCAAGAAATTGGGTTGCAGTGAAATCACGTTAAAGAAAAATAGTCCCTGCCTGTGTCTAGCAGCACATAGTTAACATGTATTTTTGAAAACATCTCATCTAATTCTATAAGGTAGGAAGGGGAACCCCCGTTTTATAGGAGGTTAAGTAGTTGTCCCCATGTCACACAGCCCATGTGTGGCAGAGCCAGGACCAGAACCCAGGTCCTGTCACCCCAACCCCTGTGCTGTGTGTTGTATGCTGTGGCTGCCTCGTGGACCAACAGTCTCCACCTGCCCATTACAGGTACAGGATCTAAAGGGGAAACACTTACACAAATATCAGTGTAAAGCCCTATTGATAAAGTGTTTTATGGAGGGCAAAGTGCAGGAGCAAAAAGGAGAAGAGCCATCAATTTTCTCCTGGCCACATTCTCAGTCCTAAGTTTCCTCCTTATTTGTGCCACGTGTCTTCAAAAGCAATGTGTTTTTGTTGGTGCTAGCCTTAAGGGTGTGAATTCGACAAAAGGCTGTCACTCCCTCTCTCTTCGAAGGCCTCATCTTACCTTTCTCACAGCCCTTTTCCTCCCGTTCCCTTGTGAACTGCAGTCTCTGGATCTGCGTCTCCAGGTCCGTTTTCCTGTGTCTAGGCCTGCAGCTTGGCCCCTCTGTTCCCCAGAACTGTGTCTGTCCCAGTGTCTTCCTGTGGGTCTCCTTGTGCTGTATCTTTCTCTGCATTTCTCTTCCTATCACTTCATTGCTCCTTTTGTCCTCCTTCCTGCCGTCGCTGCTTCACATGTCCCCAGGGTGGACATGAAGTGCGGGTCGAAACAAAATTTTTATTTTAGAAGACAGTTCCATTTTCTCTGTTATGATTTTTTCAGTTGAGTGGATGGAGACTTCCAAGTTTTCTTTCAGTTCTGGTTATAGCGGTGTCTCCTGTGAATCTCTATTGTTTTCCCTTAATCATTTTTTTTTCTAAATAATGCAGAATCATTTGTCTGGATAAGAAAATAGCCTTGATCGAGGATAGCAGTGCACCCATGACCTATATCAATGACATATACTTGAGTATTTTCAAAGTAAATACGGTACTTTCAATGTAAGGCTGGAAAACCAGGGGCACACGTGGGGAGGGTCCTGCATCCTGTCCCTAATGGTTCCCAGACTACGGCCCAAAGTAGCGAGAGGACGGGGACGGCTACCAAAAGCCAGGGTCATGTACCTCAGAGGCAGAAGAAACCACTGAGAAACCCCACCAGAGCCCTCCCACACTGGGCACTTTATAAACTCCTGCTGAAGAGGTGAGACTCTGACTTGGTAAATGAGTCTTAATATCTAGTAGTCCAAACTTTACTTCTGAAACCCACACAAGAAGCATAATTAACAACTCCTTAAATCCCAACCCTACACCATGAAGCAGCTGAAATCACCCTGGAACGTGAATCAGGAGCCTCAGATTCCGTCTTGGCCACTTTCTAGAGTGGCAAGTCAGTTTACCATTCTGCACCTAGGTTTCTTCACCTATAAAATGAAAATAATATGTTCACCTACCTCACTGAGTTATTTTGAGAACCAAGTGAGATTATATATGTAAAAATGCTTTGAAAATTATATACATATATGTGTATATATATATATATATATATATATATATATAGAGAGAGAGAGAGAGAGAGAGAGAGAGAGAGAGCACGCAACATTAGAGCCCGTGAACTCCACCCCACATATTTATATTTGTGAGAAAACAGTTAGGAACAGTGGTCATTAATTAGCAACTACATTGTAAAACAGAATTATTCTTCCTCGCTTGTCAAGTTTGAAGGCAGTATAATAATTAATCACATTTACCTTGAAGGCAGAAAGTACTGAATTCAAATCCCAACTCCACCACCAGAAGTGTGACTTTGGGCAATATTTTAATTTCTCTGGGTCTTACACAGTGATGATAATAGATTTTTCATGAGGATCCAACAAGATGATGCACACGAAGTGTTTGATATAGTGCCTGGCACATAGTAAGTACTCAATAAACATTAGCTTTAAAAAGTATCAGACATGCTTTGGTTGGTTGGCTCAGTTTGTTGGAGGGTTGTCCAGTCCACGGTCAGTTTCCATTCCCAGTCAGGGCACATACCTAGGTTGCAGGTTCAATCCCGGTTGGGGCGTATATGGGAGGCTACCAATCGATGTTTCTCTTTCTCTTTTCCCCTCTCTCTATCTCAAATCAAAAAACATATCCTTGGATGAGGATTTAAAAGGAAAAAAAAGTATCAAACATTTCTTGAGTACTTGCAATGTGCCAGCCCTAACTCGGGAAACAAAATAAAAAGACATGGTCCTGTTTCAAAGAGCCAGCAGTTTGGTGGGGAAACATACATACAAATAAAAAGAAAAGTTCACTACTCAAGTGCAAAGGCAGGTTAGAAAATGAACTTACAGCCCTGACCAGTGTGGCTCGGTTGGTTGGGCATTGTCCATGGAAGTCAAGGGTTACCTGTTGATTCCTAGTCAGGGCACATGCCTGGGTTGCAGGTTCGGCACCCAGTGAGGGTGCATTTGAGAAACAACTGATGGATGTTTCTTTCTCACATCGACATTTCTCTCCCTCTCTTTCTCCCTTCCTCCTCTCTCTAAAAATAAATAAATAAAATCTGTTTAAAAAATGAACTTATAAATCTGCCTGGAGAGACAAGTAAAGAGAAACCTTCTTGGAGAACAAAGTATTTGACTCAAGACTTTCAAAGGGTGGCATGCTCTCCCAGGGGCATGCCCACTCAAATCTTCTTTTGGAGTGAATTTCCATTCTCCTAAACTCTACGGGTAACCACAAGACTTGCAACCAGGGGAGCAGTGGGCAGCGGCAGCTCATCCCGGGCTGACCCCCTGAATCTGTCTCCAAGGCCCCCTTTCCTCTGACTTCCCAGGGAGCTGACATCAGCCCTGCCTGGGCTCACTTCTTTCCTGCAATGTTTCCAGAGAGATAGGCAGCCCCGCCTAGTCTCCACTGCTGCTGCTTCTATCCTAAAACCTTCCTCGTTTCACTGTCCCCAGCTTTAATAAACGTACTCTCAGAATAAAAATTTATAAAGACTTTTGAAGGGTAAGTAGAAATTTGTAGTGAAAAGGCTTAGTGCTTTTTATTTGGGTTTATCATTTGCCCATAGGGGTTTGATCCCTTGAAAAGACTCATGTTTATGCTTGTTGGCTCTCTGGTGATTCAACCTAAACATTCTGGCGACTTCAAAGCCTCATGTTGGAAACACATTTTACTAGCTATCTTCTATACGTGAACCAACTGTTTTGTTTTCATTTCATAGACTCCTTACGAGCTGTACAAACAACTCCTTGCACAGGGTATAGATTGGTTCCTATCACTTAAAAGCTTTAGCATCCTTGGTGCATGTTGTCAATCCCATTATGGAGAAAAGGCAGGGTGGACTTGTAACCAGCCGCTTGTCCCTCGGAGAGCTAGAGTGACTGGGATAAATGCGTGAGGAATGAAAAGTGGAACGCACAAGGATTCGTTCTTCTAGAGAGAAAGGGAAGTTTACAGATAGCTGCCCTTTGTCCACATGCAAGTGTGAAACTACGGAAAGCTTTTTGTCGCTCTCTGTACCTTGCTACCAAACTTAAGTGTCTTTCTCATTTCACCAAGAATGTTGGCAGGGAATTTGGGAGCTAGAAAAGTTGCCCTAAGTGGAAGAAATTTCACACTTTTTGTTGGCTGCTTTCTAAATATTTGCTAAATCCCTCATCTAAACAACATATAGGAAGATGTCAAAAACTGTATTTGCTCTGTATATGTTTCTATACCCATAAGTGCCATGTTAGAGAAATTTAATTGGCATCAAATGAATCATCTGTTACTTTATGAAAATCATAAGTCTTATGAATTTAGAGCTGGAAGAGCCTTAAAAAGCTTGTAATTCAGCCTCTTGGTTCCACAGTGAGGAAGCAGCAGCTCGGAGAGGCTGAGTGGGATTGTTCCAGACAGAGTCCTCTTATGGGGCTTTCATCAGCCTTTTGCACGAGGGTGGGTGATTTGAAGAGACCCATAGTACTTTTCAATTGTAGTAGGCAGAAATGAATTGTATTTCTCCCCACATTAGCTGAGGAAGATACAGACTAAAGCAAAGTAAAACTTTGGTAAGTCCCAAGAGGGGGAGAAGCAGGTAATACTGAAGTTGTTGTATTGGCTGATGTAATTGGTGCTGAGTGAAAGTGAATCAATTCCAGTCCACTCAAATTTAGGGCACCTGGCCTGGAACTTTTACTAAGAGCCACTGTCAACAACAAAACAGTCACCAAAGACTGGGCAGTACTTTGACCCAAAGCCAAGAGGTAGTATGGCACTGCCACAGAAAGTCTGCAGACATGATATTCCACCTTGACTGCACCCTGAGAGAAACTGATGCATTCCGTGGCAGGATTTAATGCTTTTAGGAGCAATCCCTCCTAGAGAAATTGCATGAGTTGGAAGGATGTGGAAAAGCCATCTTTGGCCTGCAGGAAGACCATTTTCTTCAGACTCCTATATGGAAGCAAGAGTGCTTGGTAGTTGATAAGTCAGGCCACAGATAAGCAGATAGCCACAAGCTCATCCACCCTTTCCTTCTCTCCTCCCCGCCCCCCCCCCCCCAAGAGGTATGCCCCTCGCTCCGTTTGCAAGGAGAAATGCCCTTGCTTGGAGGGCTCATCCTACCCTGATGGTAGGTGCTCTCCACGGATTGCGTTTTCCTACCTGGCTTCTTCGGGGCCCTCCCCTTCCCATTCCGCCCCCTTCGCCCGCCTGGGGCTGGGGAGGAGAGGAGGGCTGTGGCAATTGTGGGTACTTCGTCTGTCTGTCTGGTCCCGGAGGGAGGGGGAAGCGTCCACGGTGACGGAAGAGAAGCCCAGAGAACCTCGGCCCTTCCCACTACTGTCTCGGCCACTGGCGCACTGGGACCCCACTGGGCTGTGCGCGCTGCATGCCCTGGCCCGGGCAGCAGCTAGCCCCCGTGGTCCACTCACAGGCCGGCCGGGGGAACCCGGGGACGCCTCTGGGCCCAGGGGCGGTGGCGGCGAGACCCCGCCCCGGGCCGCCAGCCCGCGCCTATCGCGGCCGCCCGCCTGGTCACGCGGAGTGGCGGTGCGGGATTGAGGCCAGCGCTCCGCGGCTGCCGGAGTCGCGGCGGCGGGCGGCCGGGGCGGGGTGGAGGGTGGAGGGTAGAAATAGGGGCGGGCGGGCCGCGGCAGCCTTGGAGCCAAGTAGAGCCGACCTGAGCCACGCTGAGGGCGCCCAAAGAGGCGCCGAGCCCTGAGCACCCATGCTGCTTACGTTGGCCTGGGGCTCACTCTTCTTCTTGGGGCTCTTCGCGCTCTCCACCTGGGGGCTGCGCCGCGCGCGGCCTGAATGGCCCGTGTACGACTGCTTGATGATCAGCACCAGGTACGCGGCGAGGCCGGCGCCACCCGCCCCACCCGGCCTGGCGCGGGCTGCCGGGACCCGCCTGCGCCCGGCCCTGCGCCCAGTGAGTGCGAAAGGAGGGGCGACAGGAAGCGAGGGGCCTGCCTCCTAGTTCCTTGCCCCTCTCAGCGGTGGTCGCCAGGGTTCTGGGAAGACCCTGTGCGTCCTGTCCTGGAGGGAGAGGGGAGTAGGGTGGAGGGCTGCCCACTCTGGTCAGGATGGGGAGAAAAGCCCTGTACACAGCTGCCAGCTGCCCTGGGGGTCGAGAGCTCGGCGGCGGCCCTACCATTTTCCTCCCGGCTCTGGCAGCTTAGGGGAAGGTCAGGTCTAGGAGCTTTGGCTTTATGCTGTCCACGGGACGGGATTGAGCGCGCTCCCCCACCCCTCTTTTTCTCTTTTCTGCCGCACATTAGGCTGGTTTCTTCAGCACAGGCTGTGTTGGCCACCGCGTCTGGAATCGTCATCATCTTCTACTGTAGAGACGTGGTCACCGACAGGTAACATCCAATGCCAGGTGAAAGAAGTACAAATATCAGCACTGAACTTTTTCTAAGTTTGCACGTTTTAGTGGCTCTCAGACACTAGTTCTTTATCAGCACATGCTGTTGGGAAGTTGATTAATGGGAAAGCTTGTGCACCATAATTAGTTCCCTCCTCCTCTCCTTACCTCTTTCTGCATGGCCACCTTAGGAGAGAGTAAACTGAGGAAATGCTGGAAAGTGAGTTTAAGCCTGATTTAAGGTGGCATGTGAGAGGACATTGTGTCCCATTGATCCAAGTTCTTTATGAAATAGATACGTTCAGAGGTGAGAGTGTGCCTTCTGGTTCTTTTAAGCGATGTCTCTGGGGCCCTGCCTGGAGCACTCATTGGCCAGGATAAGTGCCGTGTGGTTGGCAGAGCCTTAGGAATGCTGCTCGTCTTTCCTGTGATTTGCTGAATGCTGTAAAGAGGGTTCTGGAGCTTTAAGAGAACTGCCTTGCGTGTGTGTTAGAGCTCAGTCCAGAGGCAAGTCAGGAAGTGTGCACCTAGTGAAACAAATCATAAAGACAGTGGTGGTCTACTTTGTATAGCACTTCCACCTGGGCCATGGTGGTTTTTGTTTTTGAAGCCTTTTTTTTTTCCACCTGTCTTTCTGGAACCACTCTTATTTTATGTTACGTTGGAGAGAGAGAGCATGCAGGGAAGTTCAATCCTGACCATTCCCTCATGTTGACTCTGCAATGGGAGGGGAGCCCCAGGGGGTACCTGTCTCACTGGCCTGCAAATATAGTGCCCGGATCTTACTTAGGATTATGGCTGCCATCATGGTTGTTTGTTTGTTTCTTTCTTTCTTTTCTTGGTGATGAATTGTAGATGCTGAGAGAAGACAGTTGGGTGACTTTGACTGCATGTAACAAAAGGCTACATGCAGTCTAACAGCATTTGCTTGGCCGGGTTCAGTTTTTATTTTAATTGAACATTTGTGACCGTGGGGCAACTCCCTCACTGCCCCCGCCTAGTCTGTCAGGTCAGACTTGAAACCAGCCTTTGGCAAAGATAAAGGCAGATGTGGCCCAGCACTATCTTGAGCTGACATGAGGGCAAGCAGCAGGCATCCACTGCACAGTTCATAACAAGATGTTTACGCACACATGACTTTCCGTTCTGTCGCACCACTGTTGTGTTTGCCCCCGAGAAGCGGTGTGTTTTAGTGGCTTGAGCATGGCAAGAAACCGGAGTTTGGTTTTCCCGATCCTCCTTTTGTGTATCTTTATGCCTTAGATTCTCTGCTTATAAAATAGAGACAGACACATTTCTGTGCCCTCTTCCTTCATGCGGATGCGCAGCGATGCTCTAGCGGCAACTACATCATCTTTTTTTTAAAAAGGCCTTTGGGTGTCATATCCTGTACACCCAAGTATTTTTCTGTTATATGCCTTTTTATTTTATGCCTTCATGTAAACTGTCTATAGAAAGGGGGTATCTATATATCCCACCAATTTATATGCAGAATGTGGTATGTGGCCAAGAATTTCATCAGATTCTTAAAGAGGTCTAGATCCCTAAAGGGGCTAAGAGTCACAGCTCTAGGCAATTTTCTCAATTTAGGCACTTATATTTGGATAATGCTTTTTACTTTTAAAAGGACTTTCACATTTTCAGTTTTTTAATCTTTACAAAAACTTTGTCAGGGAAGACAAGGATTATCTTAATTTTATAAAGAAAGCTAAGTTTCAGGCTAGGGGTAGTTAAGATTACAATAAATCTCTTGCCAATAAATCTTGAGAGAATTCTACCAAGCAGCCACAATTTCAGACCTTATTGAATTGGTACTGTGTGCATAACATTAAAACCCTAGGCTATACTCAAGGGAAGAGGCCAGATATATTTCAGCTTGGTTTTTAATTGGTCTTTATACTTATTAAACTTGGAATTGCTTTAAGAAAGCAGTAGAGACCGTAGGTGGGCAGTACAATACTGCATCTTTTTGACTAAATGGAATTTGGCTAATTAATTCACCTGCATGTGTATTATATTTTCCATCCTTAGTTGTTTGCCTATTTCATTGTTATTATTGAGTTTTGCTGTCGTAAGCATGGAATCACTCAGGAAAGAAACTTGAATAGGCACTATCTAGTATATTCCCGATGGATGTTGCATTTCGTGGACTGGCTCCTTAGGAAATCACCTGAGACAAAGTTACAAAGACAGATTTGAGGGCTGTGTGTATACCATTAAGTCTTTGGGCCCTGGACGGGTTGCTCAGTTGGTTACAGCATCATCTGGATATGCCAAAGTTGTGGGTTCAGTCTCCTGTCAGGGCACATGTAAGAAGCAACTAATGCATGCATAAATCAGTGGGACAACAAACCAGCGTTCTTTTTTTTTTTTTTTTCCTTCGCTCTCCTGCCAGCTTCCTTTCTCTCTAGAATAAATTTTTTTTTAAAAGTCTGGGGGCAGTGGAGCCTTAGCAAGCAGTGCAGGTGATTCTGATGTTCAGGTAGTTTGAAAACCGTAAAACCGATGGTTTCTTCTCCCTAACACACAGTGCTCAATAAGAATTTGCTGATTTAGTGAATCTAATTCTTCCAAGCATAGGACATGATTTCAGTTTAGATTTTTTTCCCACATCAATTTTCTGTAGAATTATGATGTATTACTTGGGAACAAAACTGTAGAAATTCTAGACTTCACTTCTAATCTGCTGCAGGATGGTGATAAACTATCATTTTGACTCAGCAGATACTGATACAACCCCTTTGGCGCAGCAAATGGCAACACTTGTCTTTCGTCCCAGGTTCTTTTGGTATCTGACTGCTGCTAGGTAGTCCTTGAGCTCCGGGCTCATTTCCAGACATATTTTTCCTAATGAGTAGAATCAGGATTAGCCATAGAATTGTAAAGAAAATGGCCAGGGTCACTTGTCAGAAACTCCCTACAGTAGGGTTACAAGCAGACACAAGAGGAAACTCCCAACTGTTGAGCAACGAGTGGAGTTAAACTGGAAATATTGGATTGGGATTCGGGACACCTTCCAAACCAGTTTCTTGGTGGGGCTGTTGAATCATTGGTAGAGATATCAATATCAAAGTCAGTGTATATCACAAAATGCCAGAAAATCCATTACAAATGAGTGGCTAAGTCAGGCAAATAGCAACAGCTAGTCACTTAAACACATGGATGTTTTCTGCCTTTGACATGAAGTTTCCCTGTGATTTAGAGAAAGTGGTTCACACCATCAGTTTCAGCATCTTCACTGTCAAGTGTTTGGAGTAAAAACATCTGGTTAATACAAAGCTGAAGGAAATGTGTTGGAGAAGAGGGTGGCTTTGAGCCCACCTTCATAATCGGCATCTCTAATTATTTTACGGACCACTCATATGCTTTCTTTCAGCCACTGGCTTGCCCGAGAATATATCTGGTTTTTGGTTCCTTATATGGTCTATGACACCTATGCCATGTACCTGTGTGAATGGTACCGAACCAGAGAACAGAACCGCAGAGACTTCCGCACCATTTTTCGAAGCTACCTAAGTAAAAACCGCCTCATGATCACACACCATGTGGCCATTCTGTTGGTCCTAGCGCCAATTGCACAGGTATGGCCTCCCGGGATATAGCCACCAACTGTGTAGGTCACTTGTTTCTCCCACTGAAGACCAATGTTTAGGAGTCAGGGTTAGCGCCCTCTTCCTTCGCTTTCCAATCTCACCCACTCTCATTGCACCAGCTGCTCCTGAAGTTGAATCCCCTGGGCAAATCACGTCGAAATGTTTGTGATAGTCCTTGCCAGCAATCCCCTAGCCCTTTGTGATTCCCTAGCCTTTGCCAAAGGTTCTGTCTTTAGTTCATACAAAATAAAAACAATATAAAATACAACATAAGAATTTTTAAAAAATGAGAGTAGCTCAGTCAACTGATTGTTTTCTCTAAGAGTGCCAGAGAGTACTGAATGCATTACTTTGATGTCGCAAAAGCAGACTCTCAAAGCCAATAGCCTCAAAACTTCTCCCCAGATCCATTTTTCCCATAAAAACTTCACCCAAGAGAAAAAGGTGGGAATGCAGACAGAAAACTAGTAATCTTTGAGTGCCCAACCAGTTGACAGGCACTTTATTTAAAAACTCATAGCTTTCTGCTAATAGTCAGAAATAGCATTAGAAATTGTTAGCCCTATACCATAGATGAAGAAACGGGCTGTAAGAGTTTACGTAGCTCAGTCAGTGGTGCCAAATGTCAGAGCTGCCACTCTACTGTGCTATATGCCGCTTTTTTGAAAGGACAAAAGGAGAGGGTAAAGCATGTTACATTCTTTAAGAAGTCCTCCTAACATTTACCACAGCATCTGGCACCTATTTTGTTGAACTGACCTGGCTAAGTGCCCTTGGCATGACTAAGTTAGATACCAAAAGTAGACTGCGGAGTTCCTTCCGGCTGACATTGAAATTCAGAGAAAGCTTGGTATGTGATGCAATTGGCTGATCAGAAGTTGTCTCTGGATCCTAGCGATTTGACCATCAGAGTAGCATTGCGGTGGCGGCAGCAGAGCATTAAATGGGTCTACACCTGCCCACTTAGCATTTCCCTTCCCCTTCATGGCCTCTCATAGTTACCCTTTTCAACAGCCCTCATTAGATTTTCCTTCCGGTGGTTCCTTAATTTCCATGTCTTATTTCCCCTTTTCCTCTTTTCATCTGCAGCTTAGGGGAGACCGAGGGGACTTCTTTGTTGGCTGCATCTACACAGCAGAACTGAGCACTCCATTTGTGTCGCTGGGCAAAATTCTGATTCAGGCACGTATGAAGGGAACGGCAGAAGCAGTGTAGGGGCACAGACTCTGCTTTTCCTCAGTGGCGTGGGGTTTGGAGAAATCTCAGTGCTAGGAACAGAGGGATAGGAGACCCTTGAACAGACTTAAAGGTCAATTGGCCTTCCAAGCCAAGGGGGACAAAATCGTATGTTTGATTCAAATTTGATATGGTCCTTCATGTTTTTTTTTTCCTGGCCATAGATTTTCTCTGTTGCACTGTTCCTGTCAGGTGGGTGGCTTAGGTCAAACTCAGCATCACCATTGGAAAACCCACAAAGCTATATGTATATATAAATGCAGCAGTGCTCAACCAAATTTTCCATGTGTCAGAAAGCTAGACGTTTGGCCTTTACTGCTGTAGGACTTGGGCCAGTCATTTCCTGAAGGCCCAACCTCTTGGTGACTCTGCATTTTCCTTCCCTCTTTTGCAGCTCAAGCAGCAGCACACCCTTCTGTACAAGGTGAACGGGATCCTCACGCTGACCACCTTCTTTTGCTGTCGGATCCTCCTTTTCCCCTTCATGTACTGCTCCTATGGCCAACAGCTGAAACTAAACGTGCTCCAAGTGCCGTTCAGGATCCCTTTCTTATGCAATGTGGCCAATGCCTTCCTCATTGCTCCCCAGATCTACTGGTTTTCTCTGCTGTGCAAGAAGGCAGCCGGGCTCTTTGACACTCCCCCAGGAGGAAAGGATGGGTAATCGCTCCCAGGAGTCAGGCAGTGAGGGTGTCTCCTCATACTAGCTGCCTCTTCCACTCAGTATTCCATGGACCAAACTATGCCCTGGGTGGCCTCAGCCTTTTGAGTATTGATAAGCAGATGGGTTTGAGTTTTTCTAAAGAACGTTCACATTACCTCCCTCTTCTAACCTGCCCCTTTTGCAAAAGCACTTTTCTTTGTAACAACTAGTGGGTCCTGTCAGACTTCCACTGGCAGCAAGGATAATAATGCAAGCCCAAGGGTCCTTCCTTGGGTCTTACCTCAAGGGCTCTGGGAGGTAGAAGCATGGGGTGTGGAGACAGGTGGACCATGATGACAAGCTGGGCACCCAACTGGCCCTAATATTGGTGGCTACCCGCTGCGGCAAACACTCAGGGCAATATCCACACATACTGGGCCAGCAGAAGCAAGTGACGACTTGGGTCTTGAAATAATTTCTTGTGATGTTGGCCTACGGAAACGTGGGTAGGTAGTTTTTTATTGTTTACTAGAGAACCCATTGGTCTTTTGCCTCATTCTTTCATCCATTTGCCAACATTGAATTCTCATGCCTACTGCCTTCCAGTCAGTAGTCTCATTAATGGGGCGGGGGGGCAGGTACGAGGCACAGATGGGAACCTGAAGCACTTGAGTAGGTAGGGACACTAGTAGGTCAGCATATTTGCAGGCTGACTTTGTAAGACCAGTGTCAAACTTGTGAGTTTGTTGTAAACAGATACTATTCCCTTTCAAGCCCAGCTTTCCCAGTATGCACACACACAGGATGCTCTTGTCAAAACTACAGGGGTGAAGTGGAAAGATGGCTGCCGAGCTCCTTACTGGGTAACCCCACTCTTTGACACTGTCCTTTTCATATGAAGTGGAAATGGACTTCTACATTCCAAACCATGAGAAGTCACATCTAGACTGGCTCCTGATAATCCAGAGCTTGGGGTCCAAAGCCTGTTCCTAATTTAGCCACAGGAGGCTGGAGAGCAAGAGAGCATGACAGCCCGGGCCAAAATGTTGTCTGTGGATGGGCCCCTTCGCTACCATCACAAATGGGGTTCTCTGGTGCCAGTCGTTCCTTACCAGCTAGGAGGGGTTTAGAAACTGTGCTACCACCAATTTTTTTTCAAGTGGTAGTGAAAAGCTAGATTTTAAAAAGTGCCTTTTAATTCATTGTTGTCCATAAACTTTTAAAGTACTGAATATATAACAGTGCCTCAAAGTTTGAATATTTCCATTTTTAATGGGTGCCATTTAAAAAATGCAAAATATTGTTGTTTTGTTCACTGTCGGTATATCTTGTATAAATCACCCCTGTGGTGATTAAATTGCACTAATATTTCCCAACTTACTCTTATTTGTGAAACACAATACATCAATATCGACTTCCTGTGAGACCCATCTGTGACCTGACTTGACTGGCTAGTGTGTGGTGTTGCTTCTGGTCTGTGTTCATATCCATGTAACTGGCAAAGGTGGGGTTCGGGGAGGAGGGTGTTAATGCTTTCAGCCTCCGCGAGGGCCCACCTCATACCTCACTCTAACACCGTTTCTGTGATTTATGGTTCCAACACACTGCAGGGTCCTAGAGTTCAATCCCAGTGCTCATGTAACTTTAGGCCCCTTTTTCTCTTCGTAGGTGAGTCCCAGTTAGGAACTGGGAGAGTGGAAACCCCATTGGAAGCCCCAGAGCCAGCCCACTGTAAATGGGGGTGGGCACGTGAATAACGCCCCGCTTTAAGTGAGGGCGTGGATATGAAGGCGGTACCAGAGTACATCCTTTTCCTTCCTTGCCTCCCAAATTAAACGTGACCAACCAGTCCACATAGTTCTGTAACAGACCCCGGACACCTTCAATTTGCATTTTTATGGGTCTGCAGACACCATCCCCTGCTCCCACTCATTCTTCAGAACCATGACAGCTGCCCTGGGCAGGGGATAATTACACTCATCCTTTGAACGCATCTCTGCTTGCTTCCCAGACCCAGTTTTGGCCCAGCTCCTCTGGATCCCCAGTGGCTGGAGTTACAGCAGAAGTCCTCAGTTCAGAAACCACCCATCTTCCGAGGTCCTTAACCTACCCCCAACACCAAATTTCTTGGTCCCGCCCTCTCCTTTTCCCCTCTTACAGTGGTACAGGCCTTTTGGGCACACAAATCACATGGCCAACTGGTGGCAGAATAGTTCTTTTCCTAATTGCTACCCTTTCCAGAAGACCACAAAATGACTTCTGAAGAGGGTTTCAGTGAAAAAAAATATACATATCTTATAATTTTTCCACTTGGGTGGTTTCACCTTTGAACTTAGCAGATTTCAGGGTGGAGAAGCCCAGTTATGAACATATTCCTCCCAGTTTGATTTGATCTTTAAGACTCCAGCTGAGTCCAGTTTCAGTGTATCTAAGCCTAGACTATCGATAAGACTCAAGAGAGACAAGATGAAACTCAAAATGAGAATTTTATTATAATTTGTATGTTATAAATACCTAAGAAACTATTTTCTTTACACCGTTATTGCCATAAACATCTTAGCTTGTATATAATTTCACATACTTGAAAAATGTGTTTCTCGGCTCTAGCCCCTAGAGACCCCACCCAGTGGAGGCCCAGCTATTTAATGATCTACAAAGATCAGAAGTTGCTGATCTTCTGCAGCAGGGTTTGGCGCCGCTCCTCGGGGCTAATGTTCTTGGCAATGGACTTCAGGAAGTGCTGCTCATTTACCTTCTGGAGCAAGGCACTAACAGAAGGGTTGGTCTTGCACAGGGTTTCATAGCAGGTGAGGATTTCCAAGGCTAGAACATACAGTGGCTCGCACACCTCCTGGCGGAGCATGGCCATGATGTGCAGAGCATGACAAAATACCTGGGTATAAAAAAACAGGACTTCCTGGGTGAGGTCCTGTTCTTGTCCTTGGGCCCATGGGCCAACCGATTGTGTCAACCTAACTGAGTCCAGGAGGCTGGTCAGACTGCTGCACAGGAGTTTGACCACATGGCTCCAGCCTTCCATAGGAAGCCAATTCCGACAACTCTGGCTGCAGAGAAACTGGAAAGTTCTCAGGAGGAGTACAGAGAGCTGGAGCTCCTGTGCCAAGGGCTTCAGGTTGAGCAGAGGAACAAACTGGATATATTCCAAGCTGTAAGGGACATGCAGGAGCTGTTTCTCCAGAAGTCTCCTGGTCAACTGGAAGAGGCACTGCCACTCCTGTGTGCTGCACCAAGGCATGACTTGTACCAGGGCTATCAGAAAGCCCTTGCTGAACAACCTGACCTCCTCGGGGTTGCCCACAGCCACCACCAAGAGGGAGAGCATCTGCTCAGAGACACTTCTGGAGGTGCAGCAGCACTCCATCCAGGCCAGGAGCCCCGTGCCTGGCCCGTACCCAGGGTGGGCCTGGGAGGTCCACTCATCCTCAGAAAGCTTACAGATCTCAAAAAGTGTGGCTGGCACCTCACACTTGAAGTGGCCCTCAAAGAATTTCTTCAGTCTCAGGCCCACAGTCCAGTCTAGCTGCTCCAACTTCCGGTGAAGCCAGGACAGGGATTTGATCCAGGTGTCTGGGGAGAAGGTGTCAGCATTAGCTGATACGATCTCACAGAGAAGCTCCAGGATGTGGATCACCAGATCCTTCCCATCCAGAGAGAGGCACCGCTTCTCCCTGGGGAGCTGCCAGTACTTGCTGAAGCTGTCCAGGAGCTGGCACAAGCTGAAGATGAGGGGGAACGGAGAGCAGGTCTGGAGCCAATACTCCTCAAAGCAGACATTTGCTTCCAGAGTCTGGATGAAGATCTTCAGACTGAGGTCCACCTCTTCCACATCGAGCATCAAGAAAGGCAGGACGAATTCCCTCAGCACCTCATCTGGCTCAAGAAGAGCAGCGACCGGAATCCCCTGGGGCTTCACAGGACTCATCAGACATTGCAGAAGCTCCAAAAACTGCTTTTCTTCCTTGGGTGTAGAGAACTTGGTCCAGACGGTCTCTTTGAGACATGACACCACAAAAGTGGTAGATGGATTTGGACCCTGCTCTTCCGTGAACTTGAGGGCGGGGAAGGCGGTGAGAATCTGAGCCAGGAACCTGTGGGTGCCGAGATTGGCCACAGCCATGCCGCACATTTTCTTCACCGTGGTCTCCGGGTGCAGTAGCACCAGGCGGGCCACAGACGCTACAGCTTTAGCCAAGCCCTGTTCGGACGCACTCTGTGCAAGCTGGTTAAAAGTTGTGTTGAGGTCTTCCTGAAACCCCTCCAAGTAAGCCAACAACTTCTCAGAGAGGCCCCTTCGCCCCCAGAAAACCAGGACACCTGAGAGGACTTTATTTTTGTCTGGCAGGGACAGGTCCGCATAACATTCAAGGATCAAGTTGATAACTTGTTTGACCCGAGATTCGGGGATGGCTCTGTCTGTTGTGCTGACTTCTGCCACTGTTTCCAGTAGCTTTAACACCAAATCTGGCTCCCGGAAGAGGGTCTGGTTACTAACCAGGCAGGCTAGCCACTCGTCCGAGAAGGCCCACTTCTTCTCAGAAGCAAAAATGTAGCACATTTCCATGTGCCGATCCATCTTCTGCTCGATAATGGCCATGGCAATCGAGGCGGTGATGTCCTTCTCCACGCCCTTGTTTAGTACCCTGTTGGTCTTCCTCAGGAAATCCCCAACGCACTCTGCCACTTCAGAGACCACCTGCCTCTCCTCCTTGGACAAGCTGGTGGTATCCAAGTAGACCTTCAAGTTCTGGCTGAAGGAAGTCAGACTGTCACACAGCCGGTAGCTGTCATAATTTGTCCCCTGGGTACTGCTAAGCATGGCCTGCAGCTCCTCCCCCCACTCTCGAAGCAGGCTGCGCATGAACTCAAACCCAAGGAAAACAGTTTCACTCGGGAGCCTGGCCAGCGAGCTCAGGTTGATGTCCCGTTCTGCCTCCTTTACCTTCTCTGCCAGGGCCTGTTGGTGATATGGGTTCTGGGTGTCTGAATTCCACACGGAGATCACCGTGGCCAGTTTGTCTAGGTACACAGTCGCAGACACTTCCTGAGGGTCGTCCTCCATTAGCGCAAACACGGTCAGCATGTCAGCCAAGTTGGCTAATGCACAGCACTTCATCCCAGGACACAGGATTCTGTTTTGAATTTGCTTCAGCCCACTGAGCAGCATGGCCAACAGGGGCATGGTGGGACACACATCTGGATCTGACTTAAACCTCTTTGGAGGGTGGGAGAACTCATCTGAGGAGGACAAGTACTTATGGGCCATTGCCCTGAACTGGGAGAGCAGGGGGTCCTGCTGGCCGCCCTTGTGCTTCATCATTTCCCACCAGACATCAAGGAAGAAGGCCACATCCTTTGAAGAAGTGTCAACAGCCATGTGCTCCAAAAAGTGCTCCAGTTCTGCACGGCAGATGGTGGTGGGGAGGGCCATCAGGAGCTGGATAAAGAGTCCGGAAGCTTCCAGGGACTTGAGCAGCTCAAAGAGGACCGTGTGATTAATGGTAGGGATCATGTTGCCTACCGAGAAGAACACATCTTCCTGCCACCGAGTTTCAGTGTCAGAAGGGGTGACAGGGAAGGGCTGAAGAACCTTGGCCCAGATGATAACCAGAGCTTTCCTCCTCCAGGCCAGGGGCTGGGAGCATGCTGTGGCGGAGGAGATCTCCCTCAAGGCCTCCACGATGGGCCGCCCAACATGCTCCCAGTCAGACTTTGTCAATTCTGCCAGTGCTTTGGGACGGAACAGCTGCTCGGCCAGCAAAAAGCCCCCATGCAAAATAGCCATTTCTTCACAGATATTCAAGGGTCCTGCACGGAGAGAAGCTGAGTAAGACAGAGTGTGGGGAAAACTTTCAAAACAGTAAGCAGAGGTTAGAAGGAGAGATAGCAGTTAGTAAGCTGGCTGTCACGATCGAGGTTAGAGATGAATTCTAAATAGGCTCAGTGGGAGAGGGGGAAGAAAGTGGTGGTTCCAGGAGCCACTGCAAAGCTGGAGTCAAAAGGACTTACCCGAGGAATAAAAAAGGACTCCCAAACTCTCTAGGTGGAAACTGGAAAGACAACAGGCACCACTGGAAACAGGGAACACAGGAGACTCAGACAGGTTCAGAGGAAACGCTGTTAAGTTTTGGTTATTTAGAGTTGGAGGTATAACAGTAAGGCAGGATGCCCTCCACCAATGGAAATGCATGGTTGAAGCTCAGGAGGAAAGTCAGAGGGGATCAATGGAACCAATGAAGAGAATGAGATCCCGCAGGAAAAGCTGGACTACAGACGCTAGAATCCCCACCCCCCACCAAGCAGAAGACGGGCCAGCAGAGGGTGTGGGGAAGAAGGGTTTTGAGAGAGAGAGAGCACAAGGACAGTATCAAACTACAGGGGCCACCAGATACATGTTGCAGGACACGAAACTGAGCTGTGCGCA